TGTATGGGGAATCGAATTCAGGACTCCATGCTTGCCATGAAGGCACTGCACTGCTGGGCTATATCTTGGCTCCTATATTCTTATATGCTTATCTCTCTCCCAAGACATTGTTTTTCTAATAAAATCCAAGAGTCCCTTTTACAGATGTGCAGATTTCTTTGGGATGAACAAAGTCTCGGAACATCACCAAACCATACCCGAGAAGTAGGACCCTCAAACTTAATTGAGTTTGAACCAACTTGGTTTTTATTTCATCTTGCTTCATGCTGTCAGTGTCCTTAACATCTGCCTGTAGGGCTCTCCTATCATCTCTCTGTAGCCATGAAGTGATGGCTAAGGTTCTGGTCCCTATTAACCTACTTCCTTTTCATCTTGTTCCTATAGAATAAACCCACTTCTCCCAGTGCAACTGCCTTTTATACACGCAAGTAAGTTGCAGATAAGCTTCAAAGAAAATCAGGATGACAGATCCCACGACCCTGTGGGTGACAACAAAAAGAAGAAACTTGGTCTTCTGCCTGGTAACAGAAACAAAATCCTAGATAGGATCATCACTTCCAGTCTTCAGACTCGAACCTGTTTGCCCAGGCCAAACTCTTAAGGAGAAACATTGCCTCCTGCATATGAACTAAGTAATGATGTCCAACTGACTCCAGGATAAAACATGCTTTGGATAACACACGTGCATACCGACTTTCTCTTTCATAGCTAAGCAGAATTGTGGCTGACGGATTATAATTCAGCAGGTAATCATGTCTCAAATTTTAGAAAGCAGCAGGATGTGACTCATGCAAGAGACAGCGCCGTGTGCTGGTTAAGCATGTCTTGTGTGGAGGTGGGCAGGTCCACACTAATTTCCTGATACATCATTTCCTAGACAAACCTCCTGAGATACGTTACCTAACATCTTGGGGCATTAGTCTCAGACACTGGAAAAGAAAAAAAAAAATGGCAATACATCAGCACCATTGCTCAAGCTGGAAATCTAAGTCATTCCTGACTGAAGCTTTTCCATAGCTTGGCATTTCTGATTCTAACCATAAAATATTTTTGGACCCCATCCCCTTCTCTGTAACTTCTCAACCACTCTTTATCTATCAAACTGTCACCAACTCTACCCTGAAAGACCATAATAACTTCTGAACAACTCGTCTTATTTTGTTCTTATCTCCCTCCAACCCAGTCTCCTCAAGACAGCCAGCCAGAGTGATGTTTTTTAATATAAATCAGATCTTCATTTGCCTGCTTACAATCCTGCAGGCTTCCCATTGCATTCAGAATGAAATCCAGTCTTTGTGACCTTGCCAGCCCAGACAAAGGTAGAACCACTCCTCCTATATCCACCTTTCACACCCCTTTTCTCTGTGTATTTTTCCTGATCTTTCTGCTCCTCTAGATTAGAAAAAAGTCTCTGTTACAGTGATTAACATGCCTTATAGCCCTTCCTCTGGTTTCTGGGTACATCCTATTCTTTAGGTCCCAGCTTAAATGTGTCACTTCTCTGAGCGACCTTCAGAAGCCACCCAATCTAAAGTGAGTCTTTTTTTTTCTGTTACATCAGCCATGTCATTTATCACATCATTAAATATTTATTTTCACTTGCTTAATGTCAAGTTCTCCCACTATACTATAAGCTTTCCAGAAGCAGAGATGATTACTGTTCTATTACTGTAACCCCAGCATCTGGCATATCACAAGTTGTTATGGCTTGTGTTTAAGGCCCCTTCAAAGCCTCATGCTGTCATAGATGGGGGGTTTTCAGAGGTGGCTTGATCTAGAGTGTGTGATTGATTCATGGTACAATGTTGGGATAAAGGGTGAGTGATTACTACACAGGTCCACTGAGTAGCTTGGTACTGCCCAAAAGATGCTGTTAAGGCCCCTTGTTGGCTCTGCTACCTTCTGCCCACTATGAACGTTTCTTCTCACCACTCTGCTGTGGAACTGTCCACTTATGAAGTAAAACCTCTATTGACTGTGAGCCAAACGGACCTTTTCCCCTTTAACGTTGAGTGTTGGGTATTTTGTCTCAGCTACAAGAAAAGTAGCTAAGATACAAGTGTTCAGCAAAAATGTTTAATAAATGAAAGAGTATGTAATGGGTTTCGTGAGAATTAAATAAGACAACACAACTGGCTCTTTGTAATTGTGGATTTTGTCTTTGTATTCAGTCAACTGTGGATTGAAAATATTTTTTAAATTTAATTTATATTGAACATGTACTTTTTTCTTGTTGTTATTCCCTAGACAGCATAATATAGCAACTGCTTACATTGTATTGCGTACTATAAAATCTAGAGACTGTGTAAAGTGCACAGGAGGATGTGTGTAGGTTACACAGAAGTGCCACCCTGTTGTATTTTTACTAGGAACTGGTGTCTGTAGAGATCCTAGAACCAATCTTCTAGGGATACCAGGGGCTAACTGTATATCTGAAGCCCATAAGATAGTGCCTGGCACAAAGAAGAGCTCCAGAAATGCCAATCATCATTGTGCCATTATCAATGACATTATTGTTATTGTTAGAGTTCATTTTCCTAAACTCAGAATCTTCTTATAAGAAAAGAGAAAGGATATTTCTTTTCCTGCCTGCCTTCATGCCATTTGCTTTGGTCAAGTTTTCAAATTCTATTTATTTTAATTTTTTAAATGTATTTAGTACAGGGTCTCACTACACAGATTGGACTTGTCATGATCCTCCTGTTTTCAGCCTCCCAAGCACTAGGATTACAGGCACACACCACCACGCCCAAATCTCAGTCCACATCTCAGCACACCCCAGGGGCGGGGCTGGCACAGCATGCCAGGGATTGAACCCCAGTCCTTGTGTCTGCCTAAGCAGGTGCTTTAATCTGCTGAGTTATCTGGCTGGCCCTGTATTTCTT